TTGCTTTCACTGATAACAGAAATCATGTTTTCTTTGACCAAATATGGAACCCATTTTTTCCCTCTATTATTTTAATCCTGTGAGAGATGATTTGCATTTCTAGACTCAAGGGATGATAGTGCTAACAAGTATGTGATCTAATTCCTTTCTTTGAAAATACTGTATTTCTATTTTTTGCAAAGAAGAAACAAATATTAATTGAGATCTATGTGTTGGGTGTAGAGATAAATAAGATTATCCTTCATTTCACTGAAGATCATTAATGAGTAAGATCAAAACTTGGATTTGAATCCCAGTTCTAATACATATTATCCATATAGCCATGGTTTTTTGTGTCTCAGTTTCCTCCATTGAAAATTGAAGATAATGATAATGTCCACTTCATAAGAGTTTTGTGATGTTTAAATAGCATCAGTCTTGTATACAACACTTCAGTTCTTAATTAGTGCATATGATGACAGATATTGTGCCTACCCTCAGGGAGATTCTGCTTATATTGTGTGATCTCCTCTTAAGTATGCTCCTTCATGGATTTAGTGATAGAATGGAAATGAAGAGCAAGAGTACAAAAATAAAAATGTGTTCTTTGAATTTACTTGTTGGTAGAATCAGCATGGAACCTTTACACACATGACAGGTCTGTGATACCTCTTAGTATTGACCTTGATCAAATCTTTTAAGCTTTTTTGAGTTGTTGTCAATTTTTATCAGATGGAAAAAATAAATGCCACATTAAATTTTTGTATGAAAAATTAAATCTGGTGAAATTTTTATGCAAGACTCATTTTTTTATAACTTATGTAGTTTGCCTTTCTACACTTCCTTAATTCGTCAGCAAGTTTCTGATAAGGGTACCCAAATGTATTTTAATAATCTAAGCCAAAAGTAACCCCAAGAATAATTCTTTTTAAAATATCATTTCAATGAAAAATCTTTTTTCTTATAAATTATTTAATATTTTATAACTATATTATGTTCTTCATAGGTGTATGTTTATATATTGCAGAAATAGAGAAGCATTATTGGATTATAAATTTCTACCTATTAGGAGCATGGATGTTGTAGATAGAAAATGTGATCTATGATTTACTGTATAGAAAAGGAAATTAAAAAGACATTTAGATGCCATTTCATGGTTCTTAGTTATGGCACTAACAATTTTCAGCATGCAAAAAGTTTATTTCTTTGCAGTTTGCAATGCAGCTTGAAAAAACTTGGCAATGAATATACATGCTCTCTGTTCCATACCTTTTTTAATTAAAGGATGCAATTCTAAAGTTTTACATGTGGTACCAAAAAAACTGGTTAGAACTGATAACATTTTAGTTTACTGAGCAATAACATAATTGGATGTTATATCTATTTTATGAACACTGAAGATTGAAGGGAAACTTTACTAGACTCTTTTTTTCTACTTTCCTCCTTTTATACAGAATAAAATTATCTTTAGTGTGAATTTGCCATTCCCTCTAACCACAGGATATAGCATATGACATTAAGTTTGACAAAGGATAACAAGGAAATCACTTTAAGGAAATATATAAACGTATTTATAGAGACTGAATGGACAACAAAAGTAGTTGCAGCAAAGAGAGAAAAGAAAACAGACTTGTTCCAAAGAGGTTTGGAAATGAACAATGACACTTATAATGTTCAGAATTCAGAATATCAGTCAAGCTATGGGATAGGAGATCCTGAAGAAGGCCCTGCCCCAGTTGTCATCATATAATTCATTAATTTGTGATCTCATTTCAGAAAGGAGAACAACAAGTATGTTAGGCCTGTATTTTTAGATCTTTGCAGGCTGTTTTATGGCAACAAATTGTTCTTGCCAGTATAATTCGCAGGACTATCTATATAATTTTTCTCCAGTTTTATGTTTAATGAGTTAGATAAATTTCTTATAAATTTCACTTTCCTTTCCATCTATTACAATATTGAAAGGCATTATGCAGATAATTCATTGCATTTTGATTTCACATGGTACAACCAGATAGTTTCACCATGTTTTACAACATTTTTCAAACATCAAGAAGCAATAATATTCACCATTATTTGTGTTATATATTTAATTCAGCCGTTATTGATTAGGGATATATTATTTGTTCGGCAGTTTTAGTTAGCTTTTTTGTCACTGTGACCAAAGACCTGATAAGAAAAACATAGAAAAGGAAGAGTCTATTTTGTCTCATGGTATCTGAAGTTCAGCTTCTTCGGGGGTGACTCCACAGTTTTAGGCACAAGTAAGACAGAACATTGTGGTGGAAGAGCACTGCAGAGAAAAGCAACTCAGGACACTGCACTTAAGAAGCTGAAGAACTGGGCTCACCAGTGACAAATATGAACCAAAAGGCACACTTCTAATGACCTACTTCCTCCAGCCATATCCTACCTGTCTACAGTTACTTCTCAGTGAATCCAAATCAGTGAATTAATCTACTGATTAGGTTATACTTCTCATATTCACATTGTTTTACCTTGAACCTTCTTTTTCTCACACATGAACTTTTGGGGGATACCTCATATCTAAATCACAATAGGCATTACAAAGGAAATGGTGATATGCTGTTTCAAAAATCACTTTAATTTGTTGTCTCAGGGATAAGGAACATTCTAGAATCAGAATTGGATGATAGGCAATGACTGGCCAATTCTAAATGTTACTAAGCTTTTCAACGACAAATTATGTTGTCTTGCCAGTTTTTGTTATGGGAATATGATTTGTGTGCACTTGTTTCAACTTAAATTATAGGTCTGTTTTACTTCAGTCTTGAAAATAGCAAATAAAAGATAAATGAGCTACAGCCAGTCATGACATGGGCAAGACCATAATAATTTTCTCCAAAGCAGAACTGCCTAATAAATCTTAATTTTGAGTAATCAGCAAGTAACAGAGGCAAGCTCTATTTACAATAGAGCTTATGCCAATTTCTTGGAAATTAGAGTAAGGACTGAGTATTAAAAGCAAAATTCTTCCAAAAGACTGCTGAAATGATAGATGAAAGTTCTTTGAATCAAAATTTCTATTAAAATGTAAGATAATCTTTACAAAATATAATAGAAACATTATCACTACTTTTTTGTTACAAATCCTATCTTCCTCATTTTGAAGGGACAAATGTCACTCAAGAAAGTAGGATATTTGTAAATAAAAATGTCTTTAAGTTTAATGTGAAAGTAGACTAACATTCTTTGAGGGAGTGTACATTTCATGTTTTAGAGTATAAATAGCTCCGTATTTAATTTTAAAAAACATGTATCTGGAGCTACTTGAAGGAAACAAATTAATCAAACATTTTTTGTAGGTTAGTGATTGAAAAATGTGAACTGTAGGATGACTTCCCATTTCTAATCTCCACCCTCACTGTAATAGATTTGAAGTCCAAATTTTTGAGACTGTTGATTAAGTAATTTTTAAATGTGCAGGATCTTCTAGTTGTAAGTTTGAACACAGGTTAGTATTCTAGTGAAAGCATGGCATACATCTCTTAGATAACGTCTTTAACTGGTCTCTATTTAGTCAATACAGTCACGTTTACCATGTAGTTAGTTATTCAATAAAGTATAACTGAGAATAGACTATGGCAATATAATATTTAAGTAATTTTAGAAATAGTGTTAAAAATAAGGCTTGTAAATTAGTGCGCTACAACTTTCTAGCCTAACTTTTTGTATATACAGTTTTTTTTTCTTAAAATGTGTGATATTGAGGTTTCAAAAGTCAATGACTAGAAATAAGTATGTATTGACAGTAATTGAAAACATGAGTTTAGGTCAAAGAACAAAAATCTCACCCAAATGTAATTCACCAAAACAGCATCTCTTGATTGTCTTTGAAATTTTCCTGGAGTTTTCAATATGTTTACTGTGCATAATTTATCAATTCATCCCTTCCAGTAAAATTGCCTTAGTTTTACAATATTTATAATCTGTAATTTTCAAAGTTTTAAAAAAACCATTCTTCCTGACACTTGGACCATTTTCTTGTTGGTAACTTGTTTGTTTGTTTTTCTTCATTAGGATGCAGGCAAATTGTGTTTAAAGAGACAAATGTTTATAAGTTCAAAAAGGTGCCACTTAATGGACATTGATGAATATGTCATAATTTCTCAAAACTTTCACTGACTTATACTGATCAGTAACTTAAAAACAATAATGAAAATTAATTTTAGAAATTATAAACACTATGTGTTTGAGGACCTCACTACATTTTCATGACTTGTATATTGACTCAGTTAAGAATGTCAAAAAGGCAGAGGCAGATTTGTAAGAATTATAAGAAAAAGAATTATAAAATTGTAAGAATCTTCTGCTAATAGATATTTCTGAATGACAGTAGTTTTCCATGATAATATCAAATATTGATAAATGTGAGATAAATTTATTTAAGAAGGGTTATAAGTTCATTTATTCAGGGAAAGAGCTTCCCAGTTAATGTGTAACATCATAGAGGACATTTCACACAAGACAGATAAGCTATGAGGAGTCATAGGTTCTAGAAAACAATTGACAGAGTAGTTTCTTTTGAAGATGTCAGTTCTTCCAAAGAAACATTTTTTATTAAGATAAAAAAAGAAGACTATTATCTTAAATAATGGTACAGACTTAGTATTTATAAGTAAAAACAAACAAAATTATTTGAAAGCTTTTTGTATATATAATTGCTGACCTGCCCTTTAAAATATAAAATATCGGTGTAATTATAAATATTGCATTTCATGTCTATCATTTGGAGTAGTATGCTTATTCAATCAGATTGATTAATTTTTGCCTATTTTTCCAAGTTTATACTGTATTTTAAAGTTTACATGATTTTTTTAAAACTGCATTAGACAAATGGATTTTTAAACAATAAACATAATGTTTGATGAAGGAAGTATGAGTGAAATGAATTATTTACTTTCAGTTTGGAAGAGGTGAATAAAAACTGCTTGGCCAATACCGTACCATTAATCTATTCTCTTTTCTCCTTTCTCTCTTTACTTCTCTCTCTCCAATAGAAGTGGAACAAAAAGGTAATTAAATACCTTTCATAAATTATATGCTATTTATAGGCTAAGTTATTTAACAGTTTAACATTGAGCTAAAATAATTTTGTTATTAATTCTTATCTATTTTATGAAAGTTTATTTACTACTTCTGCTGCTCAACTTCACTTTAATCTGTTTTACTGACCAATGCTGGTTTGATCCTTTTATCCTAACACAGTTTAATATTATAAAATTTTCAACATTATATTATATTCCTCTTTATTTTTAAGTAAGTAGTTAGAAATCCAATAGATGTGATGAACAGTGATTGCTTTATATTTGTTTTTATTTATGTGCTAAATGATTTCTCTTAGCTCTGGTCTAGTAGGTTCCCCTGTTTCACTCATTTGTGTCTACTAGGGGGAAAGGGAGATAATTTTCTAAAATATTTTAAATTGCTTTAGCAACCAAGGGCTTATTATTAACTTTAGCATAAAGGTGATGGACAATTTTTACAGCAAAGAGTTACTTTTCCTTACAACTAAAGCAATCATTTAAACAACTGAGAAATTTTTATAATTATCAATATTATTATGGTTTCTAAATTGGCAATGCTCTTCTATTCTTGCTATGGAATATTTTGATAGCCAGTTCCCCTGACATCTTATTATTTCTTCAAAATTAAAACTTGGGAGATTTTGGTAATTTACTGTCCTTTTCAATAATCTCCAAAAATGTAGCTGAGTTTCATCTTGTTTTCCATTAAATCTGTGTTTATAATCGCTATTAGAAAGCTAATCACTAATGCCGAAAGAATAATAAATCATTAAAAGTGAGTCAGCATCTAAATTCCTTGTGATTTCCTAATTTTTCCACCCCGTATATTTCTAATCACTTCAAACATAACAGTGGACTGCATGATTATTTTTCAGTGTGTTTGCTTTGCAAATATATTAGAGCAGTGTTTCCCACAGCAGGTTCAGCAGAAGACTGCAATCCAAAGAGGCTCTGTGGAAAAATTCCAAGATCAAATTAGTTTGTGAAAATTCCTCACCCTTACAGCTTCTGCCGGGGAGATTCTCTAATTTACCTGTGCTATTAGAATCTCTACCACAATAGTATCTGATGTAACATTTCTTAGATAAATGTGGCTAAGGATCCTTTTTTTTTTCTTTTGTTGTAATACCTAGCTTTACTACTTGAAACCAGTGCTTCAAGGACCGCCCTATGGGAAACATTGCTTTATTGCCCCTTCATGTCAGATGAATCAGACAAGCTTTCTTATAACCACTGTCACAATATGTTACTGAATCATACTAAAATGCAGGTGAATCAGATGATTCTTGCCTGTTTTCATTCTGAAGTATGAGCAGCAAAATATAGCAAGTAATCTTGTTTTTTAATGCTTTTTTCATGTAACAGTAAAAGGTACATGTTTTAAGTTCCAATACTACTGTATTTAACAGGACATTTTTAACTGATTAAAATCTAGATCTTGGGTTCTTTTCTGTAACTTTTCACCCTTTCTTCTTTCCTTATTCCTTCTTTCCTTTCTTTTTCTTCCTTTCTCTTTTTCCTTCCAGTATCCATCCATCACTCATTTTTAATTGTGTGGACTGCATGCTCTGTGCGTGTTGTAGCAGTTTCAAGAGCTTTTTTTGCTAGAGGATTCACTGGCCTGTAACATACAAGATTTTTCATTTATTTAAACAAAAATTACTGTGGGATATTCCTATGTTTATTAATGACAACTGTTCAACAGCTAATTTTTTTGAGAGTGGAAACAGTATACTTTCATTTCCAAATAAGATATGTTCTTCAGTGAACTCATAAACACATTGTGTATAGACTTTTGTATTAGTTATATGTCTATAGAATACATAGACATATGTTGCATTTGATACATATCTTCAAAAATGTTATCATACACTTTAACAAAGGCAAAAACCAAGGAAAGCACAGCTACTGATTTAAAAAGTCTAAATTTTTAAGCAAATGAAATCAAAGTGATTTTTTTAAAAAGTCAAAATTAATATGAAAAAATACTTTGTGTTCTCAAAAAATGCACCAAAATAAGTGGTGGTGGGTATCTCTGGTTACAGTTGCATTCTTGCTGAAAAATAAGAATATATGAGAATATAATTAATTAATACAATTTTTGTCTTAACTCTTTCCCTTCCAACAGTTTTTCTTTGTCCTGGACTACTAAAAGGAGTATACCAGAGTGAACATTTGTTTGAGTCTGACCACCAGTCTGGGGCATGGTGCAAAGACCCTCTTCAGGCTTCTGACAAGATTTATTATATGCCCTGGACCCCCTACAGAACTGATACCTTGACTGAATATTCATCCAAAGATGACTTCATTGCTGGAAGGCCAACTACTACCTACAAGCTCCCTCATAGGGTGGATGGCACAGGATTTGTTGTGTATGATGGAGCTTTGTTCTTCAATAAAGAGCGCACCAGGAACATAGTAAAGTTTGATTTGCGGACTAGGATAAAGAGTGGAGAGGCTATCATAGCAAATGCCAATTACCATGATACCTCCCCTTACCGATGGGGAGGCAAATCTGACATAGACCTGGCAGTGGATGAAAATGGGCTCTGGGTCATCTATGCAACAGAACAAAACAATGGTAAAATCGTCATTAGTCAGTTGAACCCTTATACCCTGCGGATTGAAGGGACATGGGATACTGCATATGATAAAAGGTCAGCTTCCAATGCATTTATGATCTGTGGGATTCTGTATGTGGTCAAATCTGTATATGAGGATGATGACAATGAGGCCACCGGGAATAAGATTGACTACATTTACAATACCGACCAAAGCAAGGATAGTCTGGTGGATGTTCCTTTTCCCAATTCATATCAATACATAGCAGCTGTGGATTACAACCCCAGGGACAACCTACTCTATGTGTGGAATAACTATCATGTAGTGAAATATTCCTTGGACTTTGGACCTCTGGATAGTAGATCAGGTAAGTTTGAATTTTGATGGTATTCTGTGGGTGGATACTTCTCATGAGTTTGTTCTCATGATTTTAATTAGATTAACTGTGATGTCTCTCTCTTCTGGCCTGTGTACCTAAAACTATTCTTTTTCTTATCTTTTTAGAGAAATCAATGATACCACTTTCAGTCCTAACAATTTATAACTATGAAAACCTGATTATTTATCCTTTGTACAGCTTTTCTCCAGATTTTAGCTCTTCTTTTCTATGGGTATGTGTCATTAGCTGCTGGTAAGATCTTTGCATACTGAAATACACAAAACCTTTGCTAAGATAGGATGCTATCCTTTCTAATTAATTGTGAAATACCTACAAAAATGCTCTTTGCTTGGTTTAGGATGGGTTTAGGATGATACAATGCTGCAGGAACTGTTAACCAATATATTCACCTCACAGATCATTTTATGTGACCACTTCATGGGACATATTGTCAGTTTGAGTGTGCCTTTGTCTGAGTAAACTTATTTGATATAGAGAATAATGTACATAACTGGTAAGTACAAAAAATCAATTTTTATAAGAAATGACAATGGAGAACAGTTTTGAATATATTTGAGATCGAATCTTTCCTTTCAGTTCTTTAAAAGTATCCCTTATCTCTCTGGAACATACTATTTCCTTTTAATGTTGTTTAAAGATAACTATAAATAGCTTTAGTTTTTCTATTTCTTTTTTTACTTTTATTTACACAAGAGAACAGAATTATCTTAATTTAAAAGTTAAGTTTTGAAGCAAACCATAATAATGTTCTCTAAGATTAAATGTAGTGGAAAATTAAAATAGAGGTGTCTGAATTTTGATAGTAGTATGCCCATTGAAGTATTTCTATCTTTTAGATTTTCCTGTTAATATCCTTATTTTCTGCACTTTTAAAAAAATATTTTTTAAGTACTGGAACTTCATCTAGTTGCATTCTACCATGGGATTATACACCAGCCCAGCTATACGTGTGTGTGTGTGTGTGTGTGTGTGTGTGTGTGTGTTGTGTGTATTCCTCCTGTCTCAGCCTCCTGAATAGTGGTATCACAGGCACATGTCTTCATGCGCATCCATTTTTGTTTTTACCATGCTTTCACTAGCATGCCATTCTTCTAAATGGTCCAGTATATACACATTTTCTTACAGAAACAGATTCTAAGTTTCCTATGACCAATTACCTTACCTTATACTGTTTTTTAAAAATATGTATTATTTTTTAGTTGTAGGTGGACACAATATTTTTATTTTATTTATTTGTATATGGTGCTATGGATCAAACCCAGGGCCTCACACATGCTAGGCAAGCACTCTACCTCTGAGCCACAACCTTAACACTATATATCCTCTTTTTAAAATATATCTATCTGATCATTATCTTTTAAAAATATATATATCGGACATTAGTGTAATATAATGCATTCTTTTAAGTCAGGTTCAATAGCTCTTTGTTGAATGAATGAATGAATGAATGACTTTCCACCACTTCTTTAGATAGAATGACAAATTAGGTGGCTTTTTTGTCTAACCTCTAAAAGGCTTCAGTAAAAGAGACAGTGCTTCTTTTCCTAATCATTAATGTTGATATTGTGTTGAATTGGCTTTTATGGAAGGGAAAGCCAAATTTGCAACAACAACAAAAGCACGTTATTATTAGGTCTTCAAAAAATCTTCTAAACCAACTGCATTATCTGTTTAAATGAGGTACAGGTAAGATTTTTAAATACAATATACTGTGCAATTGAGAACCTGAGCAAAAATCAATCATTGGGTTGTATCCTAGGATACAACCTGTTCTTCTATAGCTATGATATTCTTAAATCAAAATAAATAATTTGTTACTGAAAACTGTTTATTAATGGTTCTTAACCTTTTTTATTATTCATTTTGATCACAAAGTAATTTCAAATGGCCTCAAAAGAAATTATAATCATATTTTGTAATTAGAGCAAAAAGCAATAATAATATAGTTTCACTTTTGTTTATTAAAAGATTATATGTTATTTGATATCTCTATGTAGGTAGAAAGAGGAGAATTGTTATTAATTGTGGTCATGAAGAAGGTTGTACCAGTCAATTAATTTTATTTATCTGTTTGTTTATTTATGGGAGCAGGGTCATTTTAACCCACATCTATTAGTGCTCATGTTTGTGAAAAATATGTTTTTGAAGTGACAAACTTTAAGAAATGATAATTTTCAGCTTTTAATTGAATTCCTAAGCCAGGAGATTCAGTTTTCACTCCTTTTGAACAACCACAATTAAGACTTTGTTTTGCAAGTAGTGGGATTTCACCTGTATTAAATTTGTAGATATAATTGCCAGAAAAAGTATCAATTTGCACACACAGCTGCTCACATTAAAAAGCTAGTACTTTGGCATGGACTTACTGTAGTTTAGAGGTGGAAAGAATAAGTGTAGAAGTAAATTTTATGCATGCTATATGTGGATACGAGAATTTCAATTAGCATTAATAGAGGCTGTTCATCTTCATTCCACAGTTTTAGGTGGGTGCTTTTCTGTAGTAAATTACATTGACATTTTTCAAAGCAATTGCCTTCAAGGAATTCTTATTGTCAGTGTATTATGGGTCTTTTTATTCAACCATATATGAAAACTCTCAATTTACAAATATGTTATGGTCAAAAACTTACCTAAGTATGTAGACCAAAAATGTATTTGTTGTTGCCATTTGTTGGTAGCAGTCCAAGTCTTCTTGTTCTTATTTTAACTATGTTCTGTAACAAAAAGTAATTAATGATTTTTGTATACGGTTACCTATGTTTTACTTCTACTGTATATAACTGTTTGGTACACCAAAAAACCTAGCACTGGAGATAAACGCAAATGTGCTTCTCATAGATATAGAAAGCTCTCCAGTGATGCTTACACATGGGTAGCATCTGTTTCTAAATATGAACTAAGGGGTCTTGTAGGACCTGGGTTTAAATTCTACCACTGTCAGTTGCTCAGTTGTGGGAAGTTTGCTCAGCCTTTTGTTCTTGGTTTCCTCAAGTATGAAGTGGAAAAAATGATACCCACCTCAGAATATTTTTGTTGAATTTTAATGAGGTAATGCACAGAATAGGCATAGTAGAGTCACCAACTGCGTAAGTAAGCTACACACCAGGGAGCCTCAAGCACCATTATTATCCACATTTTCCCAATGAGGGCCCCCCAAAGCATTGTGGATTATGTAACTTACTCAGAACTTTCTGCTACTAGTGCTAAGCATTTTCTAGGTAAACTACAATTTGTAATTCATACTCTGAGAAAATTACCATGAATTCATACTCTAAAAATTGTTATCTACTTTTCAAGAAAGAAATCAGATGTTTTATTTTGTTTTGTTTTTACAAGGGTCATTTTTAAATTCTAGAATAGAAAACTTTGTGGAAGTATGTGAAGAAAAGTTTATCTCCTCAGAAACATTCTAAGCAGTGATCGTAAAAGTCATTTATTTCTAGTCCCTTACTTTACCCAACACCTACCTCCCTACTGCTAAATTGTCTTCTCTTAGTTTGGCTCATTACATGACATACATGTTTTCTTTCTTTTTCAAAGGAAAACATTGTAAGGGATGATACAATCTGTGAAATGGATTGTTTTCTACCATATCAAGAAATTAATTTTAATTAAATCCTTTAAATTTGTACTGCAAATATTTATTGTTATACTGTAGAATATAACTAAAGTTTCTCATTGAAAAGATCTTTAAGGTTCCATTCTTCTGTGTACAGTATATAAGAAGTTTAAAATTTCTAATTTATCTAAAAATATTTTCAGGACATTGTATTACCATCACTTATTCTGCATTATATCAATTACGAATTGCCAATATTCTTATGGTTTTCCAAAATAAATTGATGTAAAAATAAGAACTTATTTTTATACTACTGCTTCATATCCATGTAACTATATATATTTGCAAACAATTTCTTTTAAAAATGTTAATAAGTTACTTGTATTTCACTTATTTGAGAATACACAGTGCAGAGAGTCTCTAATTTATAAAATGCTTTTTTATTACTACTTAGACTTGAATTAACACTGGAATAATCTCATTGATATTGTTTTGGTCATTTTTGTCTACAGTCTTATTGAGTGCCTGATAAATGTAGGTGTTCTGTAAAGGTTTGTTAAATGATTTAAACAAACAAATGAAAGAAGATAACTTACAGTGTTCTGATTTTTTAGGATATTGAGAGTAGAAGTGTTATTTCTAAATTTGTTTTATAAACCATATAATTTTAGTATGCTCCTCTGCTAGTCATCTTCATTGTTTGCTTCGAACTTCTAAGTTCAGAAGTTTTAACTCATTCCAGCCATTGTCCCCAGGTTCCTTACCCTACAGTTAGGTCCTTTTCCTCTTCACCCAGCCTGTCCTGGGCCTTGGTAAAAGGGCAATTGATCAGAGAATTTTATAGTAAGAATACAGTCTCAAAATGTTCAGTTAGAAAATTACTGATTTCTTCATGGTAGAGAAAATGGAAAGTGTATTATATTCAGTAAGGCATAGTAACTGTGAGGTTTTGTTTATTTATTTATTTATTTGTTTGTTTGTTTGTTTGTTTATTTTTGTAGTACTATATATTGTACCATTGAGCCACATCCACATTCCTTTTCATTTTTTATTTCAATACATGGTCTCACTAAGTTGCACAAGGCCTCATTAAGTTGCCAAGGCTGGCCTTGAACTTGTGATCATCCTGTCTTTGGCCTCTTGAGGCACTTGGATTACAGGCATGTACTACTATTCCCAGATAATTGTGTTCTATTGAATCAACATTATGCTGGACCCAGTTATTCCTTAGCTGTTTCACAGGTTATATGAATGCCTCTGGTTTGCTTCATAATTCTCAAACTGTGTGTCCAGGCATATCTGGTGTGAGGTAATCATCTGTATCATTTGCCTACTCCCAGCAGCTTGGGAGGCTGAAGCAGGAGGATCACAAGTTCAAAGCCAGCCTCAGCAACTGAACCAGACCCTA